TTTGAGAGAAATAGGCCTTTTGTGTACATAGAAAAAGTCTTAGATCTTTGAGTTCAGCTCATGAAAAATAGGGGCAAAAACAAAAGTGTTGCGTTTATATTTTTGTCCAGTATACATATATCATCATGTAATCTGTAATCAGGAAAAGACAACAAATTTTTAAGTAATCTGCCCAGCAATATCAAAAACTTAATTGAAAAAGCATCTCTACATGTTCTTCTTGTGCAGTCAGCTCAGTCTCACATCTTCCAAGTCAACCACAACCAGCTGGTGGCATCAAGAGTCAGGACCTTGCATTCTAACTGGCTTTAAGTATGAGAACCTAAACCACAAGATTATTATTTTTTATCCATTTATTTAAACAAGCATGTTACACAAAATACACATACACTATTTCATCCAACTATCAATTATACATATCAAAAATCTTTATAATGGCTTTACTATTTTCACATACTGTAACTTTGTCTTATTAGGCTACCACAGCAGTTCTATCAGACATAAATCAAACTACAGACACGATTCTGAATCAAAAGGTATGCATTTTCACATTTTTAATACAAATTTTTTGTTTTCTTCTTCTTACTGTATTCGGTTGTATTTGTTTGGCTGTATTTGGCATTTTTTTTTTACAGTTTTAATTAATTGTGATTTACTGTACAGTAGTTTTACAGGATTTTTATGTTTTTTTAATTTGATGTTCATTCACATCCACATCACATGATGCTCCTGGTATTTGACAATGACAATATACTTTTACATTTTCTGTCTGTATTTATTGGCACACATTTGCTTGTGGGTACTGCAGATTTACCAACTAATTTGCTGGAGACTTCTGGTGACACGAGCAACACACTGATCTATATAATGAAAATTCCTTTTATCTATCAATTTATAAAAATGGAAAAATCTGATTATCTCTTTTTTCTTTACGATTTCACATAGCTTTAAAATACACTATAAAAACGATCAAATATCTAGTACCACTATAGTTGTGTCAGAAATACAGTAAATCAAACTACAGTCAAGATGATTGACAAAAGTATTATTTATTCAAGAAATAATATGGATACATTAAACAAAAAGCAAGATCATGCCTGTTCTTCCATTGTGCATAATCTACAATCTGTTAAGGCCAAAGATTTATCAATCGTGACTGAAAAATGCAAAGCAGTTTAATCACAAAGAAACGGAATAAAAAATAATATACCTAATGATTTAGCTCACTCAAAGAAGGCTTAATTAAAACAGAATCAGAAATAACAATCATCTGTTATTCAAAGCAGTGGGTAAAGCTGAATTATTATAAATGTGTAAGCTGCATTTACTTCTATGACTTCACTAGTAAAAAAAAAAAAAAGTAATATATTTAAAATAAATTTATTTGAGAGAGAGAGAGAGAGAGAGAGAGATGAAAGTTGCGTGTATGCGCGTCTGTGCATTTCTCTTTTTAGAGTGAGTTTACTTAAAAACAGCTATTTTATCCTCTCGTTGCTGGAAAATATGTAGCTAATCAGTATTTAAACTGTTATTAATAATTAAAAGTCGTGGGGCAGCGTTGACAAGTTTCTTTTCTCCTGTATGTGTGAGCTGCGCGATCTCCGATATATATATATATGTGTGTGTGTGTGTGTGT